GTTGTGTAAGACAAAGCGGGTTCTTTCTCCGCTACGATAAGTATGCCTAATTTGAAAGTTCTACCATTACTACCACAAGACTTTGATATAATACAAAATCTTTGTGAATAGAGTATGCTAAAAGCTACGACTCCAATACAATTGTAATGTCAGTTTTTTGAGCAAGGCAAATTATGTTTTCCTGGGATGGCAAGTTTAGTTGGCAAGCATGACAAATCCGCTTCGGTTCAATTTTTTGTCAAAAATTGCCGTGCTTGCAAAATAAATTGGCCATCATCGCGCAAATATAAATTGCCATGAAAAACTTAAGATTTGCCATGCTTAAAAATCGTCGGATTTTTGGTGTCTCTGAAAAGCTAAGGAAATGACTTATATCTTTGTGAATGCACCCATGGAGCTAGGCAATAAAAGAAAAGACTAATTTCTTGATGGGACAACAGGGTAGAAGCATGTTAATGATAAGGCCAAAAAATAGCTAAAAGTTGTTAGTGGTACTAGATACACTTGGTACATACATTCATTGATCTTTCATATTATTTACACCTTCTTAATTTGTCCATGTGATATAGTTTTTTCTTCCACCCAAACAAACACTATTTTTAGTGAAACGTGTGCAAGGTTACTAGTGTTTATACGGGCGTGATCCAACCCTCAAAATGTGACCTTTCTTGAATGTATTAAGAGCATATATAACTACCCTGCCATGTGAACGAGAACCCTTTCTTTGGGCCTGCCATCAACACATTTCCATATGGATAGTATTTTGATCTTTGCATTCACGTAGATTAATGATAAGTACCCAACCCTGTTTTGCCAAAGTGTCCAAATTAAACGTATGGAGATCTCGAAATCCCTAGCAACTGCCGCATCGACATTGATTTTGTGTGTGGTCCGGCAGTGACGGCAGCCAATGTCATGGTCTTGGAGTTGATGTTGCATGCGATCTGGGCATTGTGTTCTGCATAAAGTTTGTGTCCTCTAGGTACGAAGCAACGAACCTGTCTATGGCAAACGAAGTTTGAACATTGTCCTCGTGTATCGCTTTTCTTCAGGAACTCCAAATAGCCCACAAAGTGACTATCATCATGGCAAATTGGTCAGCCGGTACAGACTTGTTCATGGCAAAGAGCCATAGCTTAGCATTTGGTTCCCTCGCCACGATCATATGATCGATCATCTCCTCACTGGACAAGGCCCAGACACTCCGTGAAGCACTGCAGTCGATCAATGTGTGGCCCCAACTATCAGCAGCTCTGCACAAAGGACAAACGCAAGATGGTGGCATGTTCTTGCGCTGAAGAACATCACTCATGGGCAGTGAGTGTTGAGCTAAACGCCATGTAAACACCCGCAACTTTGATGGAACCGGGGTTTTCCAGAGAAACATCCATCCCTTCGTTCTTGTCATTGAATTTGATACATCTTCTCTCTCGTCTAACAATGCTTCTCTGCTAAGCTTAGTTCAGACGATCATTTTATATGTTGACGGTACTGAAAAGTGATGTTGTGTGTCCTCATTCCATTTCCAGACATCATCTACCTATCTTGTGCACAACGGGGTTTGTAAGATAGCTTCGGCAACAACATGAAAGAAAACTTCCCTGATCCGATCCTCATGCCATCTCGCAGATGAGTGATCAATAATTTTTTTAACAAGCTGCGGACGGTCTGCAACCAAAGATGTGAAAGGTTTCATAACTCCTAACTCCTTGCTTCAGGATTCAGTTTTGCATCCATATTCTCGTGTGGTAGCTCCGTCGCCGATTCTCCTTATGATTCCCTGGTCGATGATATCCCGCCCGTCAAGGATGGCCCTCCAAACTTGCGAGGGATACGATCCCAGTTCGGGTCAATAATCGAACAAGAGGAAAAGTATGCTGCTTTGAGTATTCGGGCGCTCAAAGAGCTCGGCTCATTCAGAACTAACTAGGCTTGCACGGACCATGGTTTTCAATTTCAGTTTCAGAAAAATTTCAGCGCCAACCGAAATCACTGAAATTCAGTGAATTTCAGTTTTCATTTCAGCCAAATGACCGAAATATTCACTTGAATTCAATTAAAAATTTTAAAAATTTAAAAAATATTTTAAAAAATATTGAAATTGTTGTGCTATACTGAAATTGCTGAAATATTTTGGCCGAAGCGTAATATTTCAGTGTCTGCTGAAATTACTGAAATTCAGTGAATTTCACCGAAATCTCACTGAAAGTGAAAACCATGGCACGGACAACAAGGCAAGATTAAAGATATCTAGATCACGGAAACCTAATCCACAAAGATTTCTCGGCCGGGTAATTACATCCCATGATACGTAACAAGGTTCCCGTTTGATGCGTTTGCTTCCCGAGCAAAACTGCCGTATGATCGACGTCACACTTTCGCAAAGACCCCTAGGAGCCTGAAGCACGCCATAGAATATACAGGATTTACCAATTGCCCGTGTGACTAACTTTATCAATACCTCCTTCCCTGCTAGACAACAACTTCTTCATCCAACATCTGACTTCAATGGTATAAAGGTTGACTATTCATCCGAAATAATATCAGGCAATATAAGATAGAATCTGTTCGCTATCATTTTTGATGCTATCTTGTAATGGACATTGCGAGACTAACGGGTCGGAACTGTGATAAAACAAGAGACGTTCTTGTAACCTTTTTTTAGGGGACGTTCTTGTAACCCTTGATAACTTCTAGTATTAATCGGTTTTCTGTGGACCGTAGTGGGCTTTGTGTGACTATACTCACCACGGGCTTCCCCTCTCGGGAAAAACAATAAGACCTTGTCGCAGACGCGCAGTGTGAGTCTCGCCCTAGTCCTCTACACTACACCACAATCTCAGATTTGACTTCCCGCACGAGGAGCAGTCGGGATCGGGAGGGGACGGGAGGGATGACGAGCCATCGCCGCCTCCGCTCGACGGCGCGGCCGCCGCTGGAGAACGATGACCTGCTCTCCGAGGTCCTCCTCCGCCTCCCGCCGTAGCCGTCCTCCATCCCGCGCGCCTCCCTCGTGTGCAATCCCTGGCGCAGCCTCGTCTCAGATCCAGGTTTCCTCCGCCGCTTCCGCCTCCACCACCGCCGCAACGCTCCTCTTCTCGGTTTCTTCTATATTAGTTTCGCGGAGGGAAGTTCTCGGGACATCTACTTCGTACCAACCATGGATCGCCCCAATCGTCTGCCGGAGGGCCGCTTCTACTTGCCGGCCGACCCAGAGGACGGCTACCGCGCGCTCCTTGGATGCCGCGATGGTCTCGTCCTCATTCTCCGGCTACCTTGGAGGTGCCCCGAGAAAACAAAAACACCCCTGGCATCGTGGCGCCCGGTCCTGGTGTGGGATCCTGTCAGCGGCGACCAGCACCCCATTCCTGTTCCCCTGGTGCCTGATGATGTTAAGCTCTCATGGTGGAACAACGGGGCGGTGCTTCGCCGTGCCGGATTAGACCAGTTCCAGGTAGTCTTGTTGATGGCAGAGGAGGAAAAACAAAATAGAAGATTGATCGCCTGGATTTACTCGTCCGAGACCCGCGAATGGGGTAATCCCACCTCGACATTGCTTCCATCCTGGGACTTCTTAGGAGATATGGCCAAGCCTGCTGTGCTCGCTGGGAATTCGCTTTACTGGATCCTTGTTGGTAGTTTATCAAGCATCCTTGAGTTTGATTTGGGTACGGAGAGATTAATTGTGATACCTGTGCCGCGGCAATTGCATATGATGCACAGGAGCCACTACTCGATTTTGCAGGCTGATGGGGGTGGGCTTGGTTTCCTCTGTCTGTTAGAGTGGGACTACAAGGCCGTGTTATACAACTGGAAGACAGATTGTGATGGCGTTGGTTCATGGGTGATCGTAAGAGTCATTGAGCTGGACAAGCTACTTTCACTGAATGAAGAGAAGAAGTACAAGCTACTTTGCGAGAATGAACATAAGGAGGGCACAGGGATACTAGGGTTTGCTGAGAAGAATAATGTGATACTCTTGAAGACGTTTATCGGCCTGTTTATGTTTGAGCTTGACTCATTGCAGTTAAAGAAACTTCCCAGGACCCACGAGCACATATTCGATGTGCATGAATTCGTCCATGCATTTGAATGTGTCTACGCTGCAGGTAATAGCATTCCTAAACCAATTTATTATTTCATAATTGGGTTGATGGATTTGTGTTCCATTCTTTAGCATTAAGCTAACACTCATGTGATCATGTCACCTTCTTTTCTATGCTTGATGATCTTTTTAATATGTAGTTTTTTTGTTTTGTTTTGCTTTTTATAATCCATTGTCTTTTGACATTCTATGTGATGATTATGCCTTGAAAAACAAGGTAGCTAGCCAATTATGCTTCTGTAGCAAGTTGTAATACTGTAACTATGTATTCTGATGTTGACTTCCCTTAATTAATTGAAACCCCTGGTGACCTTGATGTTGAGTTCCCTTATAAAAAAGTGAAGGAAAAAATGCATTTTATTCTATAAGAACTGAACTAGATGATATACTCGACAATTGTATAATGTTAGTATTGGTGCATAGCATGCAGTGCAAGTGTTTATAATGGTTGGAAACTGAAGACAATTACATTAAGAAAACTAGGTACTTTACACTAAATGGATAGGTAGCAAAATTGGCACATTCTGAAGCTTAGAAGCTAGTTACATTTCTTTCATTCCATATTGTTTGAGAGAATTCATGGTACCTAGTACTCCTTGTAGAGTGTTAGGAGTACACTAAAATCTGATTCATTTAAGAGGGTTTAGTCTGGCAAAACTGACTAGCGACAAATCTAATTTCCAATACTTCACCAACTGTTTGATCGGACAGTGCTGCCAGTTGTGTGGCCGCTCTTAATCGCCATGAAGAGTGCGGTGTCTCCATGTTGCTTCCTATGAACCGCCGTGTGCTGGGCTACTGGCTGCTGCTTGCTCTCCTCATCTGGCCATCTCTCTTTCACCACTGACTCTGCATATGTGCCTGTCCACACCTTCTTCATGCAGCCACAGACCTGCGTTCCTCCATGCCACCAGTGCGCTTACCATCTTTAATTTCCAAGGTTTTAGTTAACTGCTAAATGCTAATGAGCAGGTTGTGAATGTTATTTATTTTTTACTACTTTAGAAATAGTCCTGTGGCAATAGGCAATTTCATTTGTGGCAGAGATAATTAATAAATTGAGTTCATTTCATCTTTTCTGGCTAAATTTATTTTAAGAAGGGAATAGTCATCGTCACTTTGTGAATATGTTGGCATGGGTATATCTTTTTGTCCAACATAGCATGGAACGAGATTAAGAGTAATTGACACTTATTTCGATCAGCAGCCAGTGAATGTGTGATTGACGCTTCTCCGACTGGTCATGCATCTGCCATGAAGGCACGAGTTGCTTTGAAAGAGCCGTTGTGCATGCGAGCGCAAGTGAGAGAAAGCTGGGGTTTTAGCATTAATTGATGTGTAATCTGAATGATCAACCAATTAATCGGGCGACTAAAGAGGAAATTTAGTGGATTTATTTCCCAGCGAAGAGTGTGCGCTCGTTGGCCCCTACCAAAATAGAAAGGCCGATCCCTACGACTCTAGCCCCATTGCCCTTGCTTGGTCTTGGCGAATCTGCCTGATGGCCCAATAAACCTGATCTGGGGGAGTAGTAGATTGGTTTTTTTGTTTACCTATTCCTAATGTTGTATCAGACCTAAGCTTACATCCGAAAAAATTAGCTGAGTTGTTTTCCTCAGATTATATTTGAGTTTATCTAAATATCTCATTGAGGTCCCATCATATCTTTTTTTTTCTTATCGCTAGAATGTTGTTCGTTCCCTGACTTCATATGCTTGTAGGTACAGGCTTTGGTGGTGGACATGATGGAGCAGAAGTTTTGCACAATGCATAATATGTTTGTCCAGACAGATATGCTCTCATGGTATACAAATAGAGTAGGTAAGCTTATCACTAAGTGCTAGCAGAATGAAATATTTTCTGATATACTTTGTACTGGTATATAAATTATTGAGCATTACAAATTTGTACTGCAGAGTATATAATGTGGCATTTTTATGGATGAGCAGTACAAATTTGTTCGACTGATGAGATCGATTGCCGCGCATGTGTGTTGGAGATGCAGACATGGCTTCTTGGGTGTGTGTGTGGAAATTGCCCCTCTGTGTTGCATGCATTGGTGATCTGTGAACTGGAGTTTCAGGAGTCAATTGCTTCATTTGCTGAATAATGTATTATGTTGTACTTTTTCCCAATTCTGGCTGATGGATGTTGACTGTTCAACTGCACGCAGCGATCTACTGCTGCGTGCCACCCTAGAGCTCGACGGTGTCCGTCTCTGGTTGTTGTACTGTTAGAAATGTTGCAAATTGTTGTTGTACTATTAGACAATCTATGTTTCTGTGATGCAGATTGTTGCTGTACTGATAGAAATATGTTTATATATTGCAAATTGTTGTTGTACTGTTAGACAATGTATGTTTCTATGATACACACTGTTATTGTACTATTAGACAATATATGTTTTGTGTATCACTTGTTCATTGCCATCTGATTAATATGGGTCCTGTGCAGAAGAGATGATTCATGTGCTTCAACTGCTCAGCCCTCAAGGTAGAGAACTTTACCAAGAATACATTCTTCCCGATTCGCTCCTTGCTGCTGGAGCCCAATTTCAGAATCTCTGTGCTGTCGAACTGCCAAAAGTGACGCGACGACCCATCCTCCTGGCTATGAAGGGCAGGTCTATGTACCAAAACTTTCCGAAGAATGCCCTTGTTTTGACAAACCCCAAACCCCAAACTGTATGGTGCATAGATAGAAACTTTTTTAACTTTGGAATTAGCATTGCAACTAGCAATTGGCAGGTGTTTGACCTACGACCCCTCGCGCGACTGCGTCCGTCCCTCGCGGGCGGTCGACCGCGCCATCCATCCATCTTCCTCGGCGATTCCCCCACCCTCCCTCTCCCCGCCGTCGCCGGCGTGCGCCGCTGAGCTCGGCCCGGGGCGTCGGCGGCGGCGGCCCGCGGCTTTTCCCCTCCTACGGCGGATCCTATGCGGGGCGGCGCCGCTTCAGGAGGTGCGTCCAGGCGGCGATGGTGTGGCGCGGCGGCGGGCTGGCTCACCGCTTGCGTCGGTGGTCGGAGGCGTGGGTTGCGGCCATTGGCGGCAGAGCTCCGCGGTGGTGCGGGCTGGCGACACCCGCTCGGCCTAGATCTAGGCCCCTTCGGGCCCCATCTGAGCCGGGGTGGGCCGGCGGCTCCGATCTGTGGTGTAGCTTCCTGGAGGCGGTGGCGGGGCATCGGGATCCTCGGTGGTGGCGGACCGTCGTCGGCTTGCTGCAGCGTGGCGGCAGAGTCTTTGCGGGCTCGATCTGAGCCCGGCCGGGCCCGGGTGGCCTGGTTTGCCTCCTGCCGCGGCGTTCGGCCGGCTGCCGCGATGGCACTGGAGGAACTGGCCTCTGGTGCGACGGCGGTGGAGGTTGTCCCCTCCTGCTCGGCCGCGGTGTTGGCTCCCCTGGCTCCATGCGTTCTAATTTTCTGTCCTCTAGGCCTTGTGGTGGTGGCCTTAGTGAGATGGCGTGGGTGGCTTAAAGACCGTGGTGGCACAGGCAGGTGGGGGGCGTGCTGGGTGGAAGACTCCGGAGCGATTTGGTAGTGGTGTTGTGGGGGTGGGAGAAATCCATGTCAGCTCGTCCGACTCCGACGCGGTGACGCCTGCGAGTGCCGCCACCCCTCCTTGGAGGGTGTCGGGTGACCCGTTTCACCTTCTTCCTCTGCATGCTGGGGGAATCCCTAGGACAAGTCCGGGCAACAGCGTTGTGGTCGTCGCTATCCTTACTGAAGGTGTTGCTTGGTATGCGGCGCTCCGGAATGTTGGGTACGTGGTGGGACAACTTCGGAGGGTGCAGCGGTGGCGGGTCATTCATGTGTCGTCAAGCTGCCATTGTTGGCATTTGTTTCTCTCTTCTTCTTCTTGTTTTATCTTTGGGCTTGATGTGCTGTTTGCCCCAGCAATGAGATAATGGCTGCTTTGTAATACAAAGCGGGGGGAAACCCTATTTCGAGAGCCTTCTACTTGCAATTGCAGATATTGGCCTCCCGTGGCAACAAAGTTGGAGTTTTAAAAAAGATTACTGGGATAGAACGCACCCAGTTGAAGGGCATTACAAAGTTATTATGACCTCCTGGATTTACTCTGATGGCTCATACGGTTGCCGCTTGCCATTCTTGGGAGGAGTTAAACAAGGACCTTGATCCCTTGTTATCTACATGGAAAGGAATAACTGAACATGATTAATCTGCTGCCTTAGCTGCCGAGAAGGGTGTGGAAGGTGCTATTCCTGTGATGTTGTGTAGATCAAAGGGCCAGGCTCTATCTATTGTTCAAGATGATTTTAATTAGAAGGTGTGAGTCAACTTTGCATACTATTCAAACATAGCAGAACCGATGAAATTATGTCACCAGCTCATTTCTTTTAAAACGCTTTACTCGAATCCCAATTAATTGGTATTCTTCACTTGGGTCAAGAGGTTGGTTGTGGATTCTCCTTGCATGCACCTACCATGAGGTGAGTAGCTTGATCTATGATATGTTTATAGTCGTCTAAACTCTTGAATAAATATTTTTCGTAAATTATTTTTGATGCATGCTTTATGGTGTGTACCGCTAGACAGAAGTTGAGTTCTCCATGCCTGTTTTCCTGTAATAAAAAAGTGAACACTTGAAAATATATTCTCCAAAAATTTGCTGCACATTTTTTGTTGTCACATAAGCCTGTTGAATGAGTGGCCCACAGCGGTGGCCACAGCCAAGGCGCGGGGAGCGGTGAGACGCATTGGCGCCACCCAATGAGAGCCAACCCACCACCGTGCGAGCACGCTGGGACATCATCACCGATGTCGAGGTTGTGTGGTAGCTGCGTCGAGCTCTCAAATTTTCATCAAACTTTGCGGCTGCGTCTCTAGCCTGGTGCCTTATACATGTGCTGGTTACGTGCATGCTAACCTAACCTGGATAGGAGACCGAGAATGGCAATCACTCGCCAACATGCAACCTTTTTTTTAGTGAAAGCCTTGTGGGCCACCTGCAACTTTCTTTTTCGGTGAACCCTTGTGGGGACTTTATTGAGCATTAAGCAAACTTGCATCATTCAGTACATCACCAAAAATACAGCTAGGAGGTGATCCATCCTCTCTCAAAGCATTACTAGAATCAAAAGTAAAATAAGCTAAATTATGTGCCACCATGTTTGCTTCCTGCAGACAATGCTGAAAGGAAATAGTCTACCGGCGATCAAGAAACACTGCTGGAAATATTGTATATGGATTCCAGATTTCAATGGTTCCTGAAAGTGTCTGAATATTACAACGCATCGTTTTTGCACCATACTAATGCTCCCATTCAGCATAATATGCGGATCGGACAGAGAACATATACATTATTGTTTTATGCCAAGACATAAAACCCACTGTCCAAGTGCTCACTAAGAGATATCTGAAGTACCCTCTCAACATCTACTGGCAGAAAATTGCTCCACGGCAGTGCTTCATGCCACTTTCCTGCAGGAGGGCTAATTCTCACACACATCTGCTCATCGTACGTTCGAGAAGAGCATGCCTCCCGGAATCATTTGTACCACTGTAGTGTAGACTATATACCCACATGTGCCATCTCTTCTGTGCCAAACTTCGCATGTGGGAAACGAACGAACCACAGGCTAATATCCAAAAGGAAAAAAAACCATGCATCCATGATTATATATCCAGGAGTCGTTCCTGTAATTTTCTTTTTGAGAAACCTGTAACTTAAATTATTATTTTTTGAGGCTAACCTGTAACTTTTTTTTTTGAGAATCACCTGTAACTTTATTAATCCTGGAAATGTTTGGGCTTAGTGGGATTTGTTTTACTATACTCATCTCATGGGCTTTCTCTCTCGGAGAAAAACAATAAGAAGATTTGGGCTTCAGTCTCACTCAGACGTTGTGTGTGAGTCGCTCAATTCATTGCCTCCAAAAAAAGGGGCCAATAGCTCCTGTGCGACGTGTTTGAGGTGAATTGGAAGGAGTGCGACGTTGTTCGAGCAAATGGCTGTGGTGCGACAATTTTGAGCAGGCAAATAGCCCACGCACGACATGGCTGTTAAATGTGGTTAAATTGGTCGTCAACCAAGCCCGCCCGTTTATGTTAGGACATGTGGGTCCAACTTAATTGTTCCTCAAAACAGCTGACCGTGCCCTGCCGCCCGACTGTGCCGGGCCCGCCACTCTGCCCCCCTTCTTCTCCGGTGATGGCGGATCTTGCGTTCTCGGTGGCGGCGGCGGAGCCCTCGTTCTTAACGGCGGCGGAGCCTTCGTCCTCAGAAAATGGTGAGTGAATTCAAACCCTAGTCGCCCTCCCGTTCCTCTCTCCGGCCCGTAGATCTCAGCTCGTTTCCTCTGTTTTCGCTTGCGGAATCGATAGGTTGTGAGGGGAGCCCGTGGGCATACTGAGATGGAGCCGCCAGATTCAACTTCGAATAGGTAATGCGCCTCTCTCCGATCCAATTTTGCATGCAATTAGGGGGTGGCCTCGTCTGCTTTTTCTCACGGGCTCACACTGTCCGCCATTGACACAGGGGATGCTGCCGCTCGGACCTTCGAATTGACAGTCAATTTCTTTCCATCAAAGGCAAAATTAGTTGATGGTAGCATACAGAACATTGAGAGATACACTATTGTTAAATGGGAGGTTGAGTTTACAGAGATTGATCCACAAGTTCTACAGAACATGGGAGAGACGGCAGTGAAGAAATGGGTGGAAAAAATTAGCGAGAATATTGTTTGGGGTCCTGAGCAAGAAGTATCACTGTTGCGGTTTGATGATTGGAAAGGAGAGTATGTGAGAATAGA